TCAGCCTCCCAAAGTGCTGGGATTACAGGCGTGAGCCACCGCGCCCGGCTGTAATTTTTTTTTAGAGATAGAGTCTCACTTTGTTGCCAAGTCTTCCTTTTGTCCTTTACCCAGTGTTAGATTTACATTGTGGTCTGGCAGTTAGTTCTTCCAGCTCCTCTCCTGTTTTCTCTCACAGTCATTTGCCCTAATAAACAAGTAATTCTGAATTTGCATTTTTTTCTAAGAGGACCTGCATTAGCACATCACCCTAAAAACTTTGCTTATGCCAAATTCAATTTAAGGATGTTTATTCAATGTGAGACACAGATATGAATATTAAAATCGAGTACAGATGCCAAGACAATTCAATGAAAAAAGAACTGTCTGTTTAACAAATGATGAATGGTGCTAAGAAAACTGGAAAAGAGTGAAGTTGGACCCCCTACTTTACACCATATACAAAAGTATCAAGTAGAAGGTATTTCTATGTCTCAAATTCATAAGGTATTAATATTCGTTGTATATAATCCAAGTGAACAAGGAAAATATAGCACCTGTAAGAGAAGAAAATGGCATAGTTTACAGAAGAGGCTATCAAGCATTTTGAAGAAATGCTCAAACCTATTAGAAATCAGAGAAATTTAATTATGACAGTGAAATATCGGTATGTGTTTAATGGAATGGCAAGACTTAGAATGATTGATCATGGCAAATGATGGTATGGAAATGAGTGGTTACACAACAAACTTTATTCCGTGCTTTTGAGAATATGGAATGGTTCAACCATTCAGGAGAGCAATATAGCTATCAATATTATTTGTAAATGTGTAAGTATATGACTCTGCTATGAACCAGCAACTACAATTACCAATATGTGTCCTAAATAAATTTTCATAAATGTCTATGAAGATGTATAGTGATGTTCCTAGCATTGTTATTGCCAATGGCAATCTAGGTGTCTGTCATGGAATAATAAACAGATAAAATATTTTGGGTGTAGACGATTAGTTCTATAAAATAGGTTAGCATATACTGGAAACATGGATGAACATACTGCTGAGTTTTAAAAGTCTTAAAAATTTAGTTCTGGCAGGGCATGGTGGCTCACACCTGTAATCCCAGCCCTTTGGGGGCCGAGGCAGGCTGATCATGGGGTCAAGAGATCGAGACCATCCTGGCCAACACGGTGAAACCCATCTCTACTAAAAATACAAAAAAATTAGCTGGGCGTGGTGGCACGCGCCTGTGGTCCCAGCAACTCCGGAGACTGAGGCAGGAGAATTGCTTGAACCCAGGAGACAGAGATTGCAGTGAGCCGACATTGCACCACTGCACTCCAGCCTGGTGACAGAGCAAGACTCCATCTCAAAACAAATAAAATTTAGTTTTATGACCTAACATCATTTACATAAACCAAAAATGTGCATACACAACCACATCACATGCATTTTGCACAAAACACACACAAAGTGGAACACAACAAACAAAATATGGGGCTGGGGGAGGACATGAAAGTTAACATTTTGTTAATTGTTGTCTATGTTTATTTTAAAGTAGGAATTTATATTTTTTAAATGTTTCATTATAATGTTCCTCATAATGTTTTCTAAATATTTTTAGTGATGTTCCCTTTTACTTCTGAAATTGGTAATATGTAATTTCTGTCTTTTTTGTTTACTGTCCCTGAACTTTGTCAATTTTATTGTATTTATAGAATGATTTTTTTTGCTTTTTAAGATCCATTCGATTTCGTTTTCTGTTTCACAAATTTCCTCTTTATCTTTTCTTTCTGTCTGGTTTGGTATTTGTTTATTAAATTCCTGAGATGAATGTTTTTATTTTTATTTTTTTGTTCAGCTTACCTTGTGTTTTAGAACAGATGCTCTTCAGCTTACAATGGGCTTACATTCTGAGGAGCTTACTCACTGTAAGTTGAAAGTGCCCCAAGTCAAAAATGCATTTAATACACCTAATCTACCAAACATCACAGCTTAGGCTAGCCTACCTTAAAGGTGCTCACCATATTTACATTAGCCCCCAGCTGGGCGAGGTTTTTTTGTTTTTTGAAAGGGAGTCTCACTCTGTTGCTGAGGCTCGAGTCCAATGGTGCGATCTTGGCTCACTGAAACTGCCGCCTTGCAGGTTCAGGCGATTCTCCTGCCTCAGCCTCCAGAGTAGCCGGGACTACAGGTGCCTGCCATCATGTCCAGCTAATTTTTGTATTTTTAGTAGAGACAGTTTCGTCATGTTGGCCAGGCTGATCTCAAACTCCTGACCTCAGGTGATCCAAGGGCAAAGTTATCTGACAAAAAGAAGCCTATTTCATAATAAAGTGTTGAATATCTCATACAATTTATTGAAGAGATGTTGAAAAGGAAAAACAGAAGGGTTGTATGGGTATTGTACTCAGTGTGTATTGCTTTGGCACCATCCTGAAGTCGAAAAATCTTAAGTGAAACATTGTTAATCCTAGGACCTTCTGTATATGACTCCAAGGCTTTCTGTTTCCTTCTAATTATGTATTAAAAGCTCCCCTGTTTATCAGTGTTTCTTTTCTTATGAGTCTGTCAATCAATTTTTCTTTATAAATTTGCTTTATATTATGTAAGGCTATTATTGTTGATAGAAAATTTTCATTATTATGAAGTGTTTCTTTGTATATCTTTTTATTTTACTCATTTATTTATTTATTTTTTTGAGATGGAGTCTTGCTCTATCTCCCAGGCTAGAGTGCAATGGCCTGGTCTCGGCTCCCTGCAAACTCTGCCTTCCAGGTTCAAGCGATTATCCTGCCTCAGCCTCCCAAGTAGCTGGGATTACAGGTGCCTACCACCATGCCCAGCTAATTTTTGTATTTTTAGTAGAAACGGGAGTTTCTACTAAAAATGCTGGCCAGGCTGGTCTCGAACTCCTGACTTCGTGACCCGCCCGCTTTGGCTTCCAAAGGTCTGGGATTACAGGCTTGAGCCACTGCCCCAGCCTTTCTTTGTATATCTTAAAGTGTTATTTTCTTCAAGGATTATTGTACATTGTCCAATATTATTTTAAAATTAGAGAAAGAATATGAGGCCTAGGATGACAGTCTCTTTCTCGAGTAGAATATTTTTATTTGTTTTTGTCAGGTACCTGCAAACACTAAGAAAAAAGGTTTACTATTTTCAGGTAAGAATGTGATTTCAAGTTTGGCTTCAGACCCCTACTGAAGACGATCTATTTGCCTTTTATCTTTACTCCTGTAGTGCAGCTCTTCGGGTTTTACTAGGTACCCTTCTCCTCCCGAACCCCAACTTCTTCCCCGAGGCCCTTGAATAACAGAATCGGTAGGTACCACTAAGACAATCACTAACACTCTAAAATTGCAAAACTTGTCTAAGATTCCCTCTAGCTTTCTAGGATACCCGGAAGCTCAGGTTGCTCGGAAGTATACCCGCTGCAAGGGGCGGAACGATGGTCGTTCCCCCGCCCCCGTTCTCCGGCATTCTGGGAAGTGTAGTCAGGGATCCGCATAGCCTGGGGCACTTCCGCTTTTGGAACGCAGTCCTAGGGAATTGTGGGAAGTGGTCCGTGATTTCTCTTTAGTCGCTGGAAGGTTCTTTCGCTGGAGGGCTCAAGGAGATAGTGTTTGGATCCACGGAGACCCTCCAGGTTTTCTCAGCCTCGTCGGGGAGCAAGCGGGACCCTGGTCCTCGTCTCGAGGAGGGCCCGAGAAGCTGTTGCCAGTTGAGAGGATGGAGTTGGGAGCAGTTTGTGTTCTTTCCTCCCGGCTGAACCTCCGGTTTGAAGCGGTTCGTGCGTCCCGGGGTTGGGAGTGTCCTGGGCCGTTTGTCGCCTGGCTAGAGGATCTGGCGTTCCGCAGCCAGCCTCTCCCACCTGCTTGCCAGCTCTGCCACTCACTAGTGTTACAATGTTTTGAGAATTAATCTTTGTCCCGTTCTCATTTCTGAAGTAGAGAGTCAGTAGGAGTCTCTTATACTTTTATACGAATTATTCATTAAATGACCAGAATAGCCATATGCGGTAGGCACCCCTATATTCTATTTTAACAGAGAAAGAAACGAAGGTAATAGTCCTCTCTATACAACGTAGAAAAGAAAGCTGTCTTATTGCTGAATGAGGACAACCACTGTATAGTATTATAGATAATCTGAAGAAAAATATTGAGAAGTTCCACCCCATGTATAGTCAAGCAATTTTAAACTTTTTATACTATTCTCTTGTGGGATTTCAGAGACTGGAGAGACCGTTGAGGTTATGGAAGGAGTTTATTTTAGGTATACACTGGCCCAGCTGGTTCCCTGACGGGAACAAAATGGCTGAGCCCTTAACAAAGGCAGGGCTTGACCTTTTTTTTTTTTTTTTTTTTTTTTGAGACATAGTCTCACTCTGTCCCCAAGGCTGGAGTGCAGTGGTGCAATCTCGGCTCACTGCAACCTTTGCCTCCCAGGTTCAAGCAGTTCTCTGCCTCAGCCTACCGAGTAGCTGAGATTACAGGCTCCCGCCACCAAGCCCAGCTAAGTTTTTTGTATTTTTAGTAGAGACAGGGTTTCACCATCTTGGCCAGGCTGGTCTTGAACTACTGACCTCGTGATCCACCTGCCTCAGCCTCCCAAAGTGCTGGGATTACAGGCGTGAGCCACCGCGCCTGGCCGGTTTGATTTCTTCTACGTGAAGTACGCAGTGGCACTAAAACAAGTTTGCAGGTGTAGAACGAAGGCAATTCATTACATAATGATAGGCAACTAACTTAGGTTAACATATGACTGTTGCTATTCGACCCAGATGTTTGCTGTCTGCAGAGCTCAAGGATTTTATCACATGCCTTATCTATTGCCTTCTGCTACAGTGCGCAGAAGGCTGGAATCCTGCCTGATTGGGAATTTCTTACGACCTTCATTGTGTTACAGAAACTTACAGTTAGCTATAGAGACGAAGAATACAATAATTTATAAACTTCTTACAAAGCAGGATACAATCCCACAAGAGGGGGAAGGAGTCAGGGAAGTTTGCTTATAAAAGAAAACTTTAATTTCTGCCTTTCATTCCTGCATTTTTATTTGTTTTTCTGTAGCAGGACACGCCACAGACAAAACCTCTTGGACACCAGGTTTGTGAAGGAAGTGGCTTTTTATTCAGCTGGGAGTCTCAGCAGACTTGCATCTCAAGAACTAGGCTCCCTGGCTAGAAAATCCTGGCCTCTTTGAAAGCCTCACAATCTTAGAGGCTACATGTGAGAGGGTCGTGATCAATGAGGTAAGCAAGGGATATGTGACTTAGGTGGGGGTCTAATCGTGATTAAGCAAGAACAATGCCTTCTGGGGAAGATTCCTCCATACCATGCCTGTGATCTATAGATAGGAACTAGGGTGAGGGTTTGATCTTTAACCTTCAGGTTCAGCTAGTGGCACCGGTTTTGTCTCCTCCACTGGCCTTGTGCCTTCTGCAACGTTTACTTCTCCTTTTGAAATGCAATGTAGAAGGCTGAGGGGAAGTGGTCTCCTTCCTAACCTCCTCTTCAGTTCTACTTTTGACCACTATGTACATCAGTTCTCAAGATTAATCATCTTTCAATAAGAAGACTTCGCCTCATCATTTACTGCAAATTCTTTCATAAATTTATTCTAAATTTACTCAAGAATCCAGTCTAAGTTAACTAACTTTATCCAAAGTAATAATAAAACTTCTCTTACCTCATCTGCTAGCCGATTTACAGCTCAAAGAAAGGCACCTTGGTTAAACTCTTACAGTGACAGAGGGACAGTGCGATTATCTTCTCAGATGTTTACATTCAAAACGGACAAATCTCAGAAATTTCAAACATACTTCTAGCTTGTAAGCCTGGCTAGAGGCTTACATAGCATCTAATGAGGTTTATATGCATATCAAAAGTTTAGAAAAGGATTCAGAAGCATTTTCTTACGGAAATGCTGTCAGAAAAAGAAGAGGGAAGACGAACCCTAAGACTTAAAATTAGTAAGAGGCAGAACTGCCATTAGAACCCAAGGAATTAGAGCCTCAAGTCTGTGTACATAATCTCCATCCTGTAAATTTTTCTTACAATCGTAGGAAATAATCATGTATATGGTTTGTGGAAATCTTTTTCTATTTGGTTTGGAAGGTGATTTGGGGCTTTAGAGTCTACGTTCTCCTTATTAGAAGTAATGCATGACCATTATAGAGAGATTAGAAAAGACAGAAGTATATAAAAGGAAATGAAAGTTACCAGTATTCACTGCTGAATATTTAAACAATTAGCTGCATGTGGTGGTGCATACCAGTAGTCCCAGCTACTTGGGAGGCTGAAGTGGGAGGATTGGTTGAGCTTAGGAGTTTGAAGTTGGCGGTGAGCTGTAACCATGGCACTGCACCACAGCCTGGATGACAATGAGACTTCGTTCCTTAAAATAACCCATAATCTCAGGATTTAGAGATAAACACTGCTAACATTTTTTTTTTTTTTTTTT